GTTATCTGGTTTGTTTTTTTCACTGTAATTTTTTTTAAAAAAAACACACAAAATCAAATTCTTAATTTTTTTAAAAAATCTCATAAAATCACATCCTAATAGACTAGTGCAAAGAATCTCAAATAACAAATAATTTTTTTTTTCTGATTAATACTTAAAATCTTAATACTAAATGTGGTTTAAAAATATAAAACTATGTCACTAAACATTATTAATGATATTTATTAATTAGTATATCGTTAGCAATTAGTACAATTACATAAATCATTTATATGATCTTTTTTATATTCAGAAATTATGTATATAGAGTTATGTGATATATATTAATTAGTATATTGTCAGCAACAAGTACAATTACATAAATCATTTGCATGATCCTTTTTATATTTAGAAATTATGTATATAGAGTTGAATAATTTGTTTGTTATTTTTTTTTTTAGTTTGACTTGCATAATGTATTTATAATACAAAGAATACATCAGTTACCTAATTTATATCATATACCACTCATTATTTGATAGAGAGATATTATATGTATTGATAGGAGATACTAGCATACTAATTATATACATTCTTAATGATAATAATTAATTATCATCATTGTCATATATTTATAACTATAAATTAAATTTCAATTATAAATTAAAGTTAGAAATTTAGATTGATTTTATAGGATTTGAAATATAACAATGTAATAATATATATATAATTTTGTTATTTATAAAGTAAAATTTAGTTAAAAAGTAAAGGTTGGATAACCATATTTATTTTGTAAGATTTATAATAACTGTATATTAATAAAAAATAATAACAAAATAATAAAAATACCAGATCAGATGCTGGGTCGAATGGACTCGATATTCGTCCCGCGTCTAACTCAAGTGAAATTATATTAAATTTTAGCTAACTTTGATTTGATTTCGATCAAACTAGATAAAAATCCAATCCAATTAAGTTGAATAATATCCAGTATTTAGGTAAGGCGAAGATGTACTCCCTGCTTGGAGGGTTGCCCGTTTAAAGATCTCTTTTAGTCCTTTTTTTTTTTTTTTTTTCCATCATGACATTTTTTGCACGCTCTACTTGAGGAGCGTCACTATTTTTTTTTTTTTAATCTATACAGATCTTTTATACCTTAAATTTTAATAATGGGATTAGAATTTATCCAAAAAAAGAAAAAAAAAAGAAAAGAAAAGAAAATGAAAACGACGTACTCCTGGTTGTGTGTTATCACGGTATTCTTTTTGTTTAGTTTCCTTGTAACGGTGTCAAGATTTTTGGGGTATATTAGCGTGCAACTACTCTGTTTATCAAGTTAATTATAGAAATTTTAAAATTCAATATATATAAATATATAAAAGAGATCTTAAAATTAACAGTTCATGAAATTCTAAACAAAATTCTGGTCTTGGCCAAAGATACTTATGGGATCTCTCAGATTTGATCAGGTTTTTTCTTTTATTTTTATTTTTATCAACCTTGATCAAGAAAATAAATTACGATGATGCTAAAAAATCTATAAGCACTACATTACAATACGACAAAAATACAGATAATTTAAAGTTAGCAACGGTCATATTAATCCGTATAGAATTGGAAAATTCAAGTCTGTCTTCTGATCTTTATTTTTTTTTAATCCTGAAAAGATATTAAACTCATTTATCATTATCCTTATTTGTCCGCTTGTATTTTGATGTTGCTATTTTGCTATCAATGTTTCAGAATAAATTTCTTACAGCAGCCTCTGGATCAATATCTAATTAACCCTTGTACTATGATGTGGAGTTCCTCCTTTTAATCTATTTTTTATGAAACTGATTGGAATGGTTCCATAATATTGTAAGGAATAAATTAATGACATGACATCATGTCATGTGTGTCACATAGGAATGTGCTAACATGTCCTGAAGAAATTAGCATCTCATTATATATATATATATATATTACTACGTTTCAGCTTCCTTGCCAAATCTTCTAATTTGCTTACAAGATAAGCTATACTGTATATCTTGTGATTTTAAATTATAAATGGGTTTTTCTCAATTTTTGATTATATATTTTTTTTTAATTTTTTTTTATTGAGATTCTTTATTTTTATTTTTTTAATTTGATCGGGATCTTTTACTTTTTAAAGTTTTTTATTTTAGAATTTTTACTATAAAACTATCAATTAGTAATTATATGTGATATTAGTAATTAGCATGTTAATCATTTCTTTATGACGCTATAACAAAGGATTCTCAACACAAAATTTTGAAAGTAAAAGATCTCTGTTAAGTAAAAAAGAATATAATGTTTGGATAAAAAAATCTAAAAAAATACATAATCTAAATATGAAAAAAACTATAACTGAACCTTCAAAATATTTTGAAGTATTTGCGAGAACTTGTTTAAGGGATATGGGCATGCACGACATACACGATCATAAATTAGGCTTGTTCTTGCAATTAAAATATAAAAGAGAAGAATTTTTCTACGAAGATAGAATGTTAAAGGGGGAAAGAAACTGGGTCAGCTCAGACCAAATATCAGGCAAAATTGACTTTAGACTAGGTAAAGATAGAACTCTAGAAGCAAAAACGATGTTATTGTTCTCAAGAAGAACAACAAAAGAGAACCCAAACTTGAATTTTGGGGAAGAATTTTGGGTATCTACTCAACCTTTGTTTGATTGTATCAATACTAGGTCAAACAATAAAATCAAAGTAAACACAGGGTATCAATTATCAGAAACGAAAAGTGGTGAATGCTTGGCCAACTGGCCATTTATGGACCATAGTTTAGAAGCAAATAATGCCACTCGTTGAACTTATTAAAGAACATTTTCCCCCAGCCAAAATTCACCAGATTGACTATTCCAATACCAAAAGCTAGTTTTCCAACCTTAGGAAGCAATAATTTTTCTTATATCTTACATTTGATAATCTATAATATGTCCAAAAGATAACATTTTTATTGTTTTGCTTAGGATAAAGGGAATAATATTACACAGTATTAATCTATTTCCGGTTGGAAAGTGTAAGACACGCCCTGAAGTGAAGTGGGCAGGCTGCAACAAAATCAGTAGAATCTACCTTGTCTGAAAAAATAAATTCTTTACAAGACATATCTGTTTTTTATTATTGTAGTTGACAAGTTTTTAGTATTACATCTCTGTCAATACAAGCATTAGCTTGATGATGGTGATAATAAAGAAACAAATGTTAGAGAGCGTACCAAACCTAACTGTTTTAATCAGTGTGGGGGATTGTTGCGGTACAAAATAGTCTTCCCATTTAAGTAAAGTTAGTTGAAGTTGCTGGCCACATTGAGTGAGAAAGTGGCCAACTCTTACCCCTCTCTGTCTCTCTCTCATAATCATGATCATTTAGCCAAAAAGAATAAAAAATTATAAATCCAACAAAAGGTGAAAGGTGGTAAAGAAAAGTTGAAAATTCATACAAGCAAGCACCAAGAACCTGATTCAAAGAAGCAAAAAGAAAGAGAGAAAAAAAGAGGGACACATAAGCAGAAACTAAAGAATATATATACTAGTGTGTGTGTGTATATTATAGTATATGTGAAAATATTTCAAAAGAAAACAACAGAAACAAGATGTTGTATAGGAAAGGAGAGGGTGGATAGAAAAAAGAGATAGTCTTCTGTGGCTGCCGTTTCTTTTCTTCTTTTGTTTGTAAACAGCCTTTTTAAGGTCTTAGTGAAACTGGGTCTTCTTTAATTATAAGGTATGTTTTAGCACATGATCTTGGTTTCTTTGTGAATTCTTCTGTTCATGCAAGCTTTTGTAGTTTTGGGGTGTGTGTGAATTTGGCTGTTTTTGTTATGATCATCAAGTGATCTTTTTGGTTGCATGCTAATTGTGTTTATTCTATGGATATGAATGTGTAGAGGTTTAAAAGGTGAAGTTTTTCTCCCTTCTACAGAAATTGGTACTGTTGGTGATCATAAGGTGATTTTTCTTATTAAATTCCTTCTGTCTTGGGATCCCCTTTTGTCTTCCAAGTGTCAGATTTTGTTCTTTTCATGAGTTCTAATTGTCTTTAAGACTAAAATAATTATTTATCTTGGTGAATTGTAAGGTGATTTAGCACCTTAAAAAAGAGAGTCTCATAGCTATAATTACAAGCCCCTGTAACCTCTCTCTCAAAAATTTCGGGTGGTTTCACCATTTAACTGTTTTTGTTCCCTGGTTTTGGACAGACAACCTTGTCAAAGGGGAGTATATAGAGTTTTATCCAGGATTTGTTTATCTAATTTTTTCATTCATAAAAAAAATTATAAGTATCTTTCATAGGTGTTTTGAAAATAGTTTTTCCTTTGGCAATTTGTGTTTGTTTGTATCTGTAACCAACTTTGACCTCGAAGTTTATCCCTTAATTAACAGACAGTTGGAGCTTAATCCATTTATTTGATTGTGACCTGAAACGATGGAGGGTGTCTTTGTTCTTTGGCACAATGGATCTGTATCTACTAATATGAAGATTCCTGTATTTTCCTTCTTATTTATACCTGTATCTGGGTCTGACTTGATCTTAGTATGTGAATTCTTCAACTAATTGCTTGTGGGAATTTTGTCATCGACCTAGTCGACTGCAGTTCTTGGAATTATTTGTTATTTTTCTGTTCAAATCTAGTTTCTTTCACCATGTTCTTTCTTGTTTAAGACCAACTAGCTAATATATCAGTTGATACCACAGAAGTCGCGAAGATGAGAATATCCATCTTCATGTGTTTATCTGGTAGTATTTCAACCCATATTTTCTTAGCAGTGTAGTCTTTCAATGATGTGTCGTAAATTGCATACTAGTAACCTTCATATCTGAATGATTCCACCTAAAATTTTCTCGTCATGCACCAATTTTCTTATTGTGATATGATATGTATAGATTCGTAACCTAATACATGTATACACACAGGTAAACACAGATTTATTTGGAACTGCAGGCAGTTAATCGTGCGATTCATTTCCTCATCTACGTGGAGACAGTAATGCTAGGAGCATGGGAAAGAAAGGGAGTTGGTTTTCAGCAATCAAGAGGGTCTTTTTACCACACTCCAAGGACAAACTAGCTAACGTAAGTTGCTGTTCCTGATGCAGTATTTGAAATCAGATTCTTTCAAAACAAGTTTTACCTGACCTAAAAAGTATGTTGTTGGGTTCTTTAAAGAAACTGTTTGATTAATCATACAATATTCTCAATTTGTTAGAAGTTTAACTATAATTCAGTATTCTTTCTGGCCTATCAAGTTATCCTGAGAAACAAGTGATTCCTGTTAAATTGAAATTTTTGGTTTTGATGCTTATAAAATGTACATATCTATATGGAATTCGGAAAGATTGAAAAAATTAGATGAAAGTTGTCCAGATGTATGTTATCATCCATTGTCTGAAGATGCACCATCCTGAACTGATGAAGCAGAACATGTACCATGCTGCTTTCAGATTTTACTCGCTCATGGCCTTCTGCGTGTCACCATTGTATAGGAAGAGAAAAATTACATAACCTGCTTTATGATAATGTTGTTCATACTTGGTATTTTAGATTTTCTTGCCCATTTCTTGTTACGTTTTTATTTGGATCAAGAATGATAACATTCTTTGCTTCTTCGTGCACAATATTTACTTGGAAACTGCTTGCAGAATTGTAAACTTATCCTCTTTACTGTTAATTACATTGCAGGAATCAGATAAGAGAAGCTCAAAAGAAAAGAAGAAGAAGGGCCTTGGAAAACTAAGACATGGAGAGACCACTTCATTCATTCCCCTGTTTAGAGAACCAAGTAGTATTGAGAAAATTTTGGATGAGGCTGAAAGAGAGCATAAATTAATTTTCAGGCCTCCCACGCCTCCTGAGCAACCGACGACACCACCCTTTGTACCTCCAAGAGCTGCTTCTCCGAGGGTTGCTTCTCAAAGAGTTACCTCTCCAAGAGCTGCTTCTCCAAGAGCTGCTTCTCCAAGAGTTGCTTCCCCTAGAGCTGCATCTCCAAGGGTTGCTACCCCTAGAGCAGCTTCTCCTAGGAATGTTCAACGCCATAAGGAAATAAATTACAGACCAGAACCAACTCTAAGAAACCATCATGCTTCGGCTACCAAGATCCAAGCAGCCTATAGAGGCTATGCTGTAAGATTCTCTTATCACTCATACCTTGCATAATACAGAAAACTTGATGCAAGAAAAATAACAAGAATTTTGCTATGAAGATGTACCTCAAAGCAAAAATTTCTATTGTTGATATTTGCGGTACTACAGAATTTCTTGTTTTTACTTTTGTTGGGAAGTTGCTCTATAAGTAATCAAGTCCGCATAAATGGTGGCCAGAGTGGGATTTTTATCCAGAATCCTGCATTTTTTATTTTTTATTTTTTATTTTTGCTGCTTTTGTGCCCTATATTTTGCCAATATTTTTCTGTCTGATGGTAGTGGATGCCTTTGCTTTTAAATATCCCAAATTCACATTATAGGCAATCCCGTAGGATTCTTGTGCTCTTCATTCATTTTGAACTATTGTCAAACTAATACTATATGGTACTTGTCATGAAGGCAAGGAGGAGCTTCAGAGCTCTGAAGGGTCTTGTGAGGCTTCAAGGAGTGGTAAGAGGACAGAATGTGAAGCGGCAGACAATGAATGCAATGAAATACATGCAGCTCTTGGTGCGGGTCCAGTCTCAGATTCAGTCACGGAGGATCCAGATGTTAGAAAACCAAGCACGACGTCAATCTCAAAACAAAAATGATAAAGAAGTGGATAGTACCTTGGGCAAATGGGGTCAGTTGGTAAGTTCATTTTTCGACTTGTGGTTCTGTTCCTTTCCATTAAGTAGCTATATGTCTGAGAGCCTAGATCAATGTGTTAAGCATTATAAATTGGTCTGGATTAAAAATAAGTATCTCACCTAACACGTAAGCAAGTTATGGTTTCACCTCCCATTTCAGATGCATGGTTTTGGTCCTGCCTATACTTGAGGAAACATGTCTTGGTGCCCTGTTTGTTGGTAACGAGTCACCAAAACAAACACTCTAGCTTTTCTTTAGGCCATGGTACCTGTTAAGAATTATCCCTCTTATCAGTGCTTGGCTCCTTTAGAGCAAAGATCTTAGATTTTCTCAATTGGAGCGATGTTAAATTACATCTTTTTTGGGGATGTAATATGTCTCGGTTCAATAGGCCTTGGGTTACACAATGGAGGCTAGCCCTCCTCCATGCCCTCCCAGGATTTGAACCTCAAACCTCCGTATAGAAATCCCAAATCTTAGCCACTAGTTTGTCCATTGGGAGTAATGCTAAAGTATGTCTTTTAACTTTCTAATGCTCATTGCATAAGGTGCTTGATAAATAATAATAATAATAATAATCATAATAATAAATTAACTTTACAACTCCGATCCTTTTGTCAAATGATGTACTTCAGTTGTACAAAAGCAGACTGGTATTTATTTTTTTATTTTTGGTCAAACAAGGCACTATTATATTTGCTAGTATGTCTGCCATTTAATTATGTTCATATTTTACTAAGATAATTAGCAATAATAACTGGGGGTATTGGTACAGTCTGAGGCAGGTAATAATGAAGACTGGGACGACAGCGTGCTGACAAAGGAGGAAATGGATGCAAGGTTGCAGAGAAAGGTGGAGGCAGTCGTCAAGAGAGAAAGAGCCATGGCTTATGCATATTCCCACCAGGTATTTGCACCAAATGACCCTTGAACCTCCTAAAAGTGACCTTCTATCTCATATTCTTTCTTTCACTTTTTTTTTTTTTAATTTTTTTACAATCATATTTTAATTTTGCAGTGTACAATGATTTTTTGCTTTAACTTGCTCTTTAGGTAATTTGACATTTGCTGGTTGAATTAAGATTTCTTGATCTCATTGTAAGCGCTAGAATTGTGTAGTTTTGAAGATGGTTATAGAAAATATTAGTCAACTGCAAGAGAAGCAAATCATAGAACAATGCCAAGATAAGTTATCAGGGGTGATGTTTCTCAATTGCATTAGCTTGATTTCGGGAAGGACGATATGTTCTTTGAAACTTAAGTCCAAAACTTTCGAGCTGGAGACACAATTGTTCATGATATATGAACTTCAAGAACCAAAGTTATCACCCTATGCAAGAGTCGCACCTACTAGTAGTATTGGCTTATTGCTTGGATCTTCCTGGGAATTAAGAGAGATCATCATGACTGATACTTCCATAAAGTCTAGTTTGCTTTGCAGAATAGGAGTACATCTTAATATATGTGTTACTGTTTTGCAACAGCTGTGGAAGGCCTCTCCAAAATCTGCTCAGTCAGCTCTGATGGATATCCGTTCCAATGGATTTCCATGGTGGTGGAACTGGTTAGAACGTCAGCTACCTGCAACAAATCCTCCTGAGAGCCAAGCCTTGAAGAATTTTCAACTTACACCACCAAGGCCACATTCGGAGATAAAGCCTAGCCCAAGACCCCCATCAAGTAGCCACAAGCAACAACATTTTGGGTTTGATAATATGGATACTCCCACACCGAGATCTTCAAAATCAACTGCATTTGTGTCAACGAGACCAGCACGAACTCCTCTTCCTAGAACTCCACCGGCAAACAGCCCTAGCATGTCAAAATATTCAAGAGCAAGAGCCAGTGGAGCAAATTCTCCTTTTGACTTGCCACTCAAGGATGATGATAGCCTCACGAGCTGCCCGCCATTTTCAGTGCCAAACTACATGAATCCTACAGTTTCAGCCAAAGCCAAAGCAAGAGCTAATAGTAATCCCAAGGAGAGGTTTCCAGAGACCCCAAACAGTGAAAAGAGGAGACTTTCTTTCCCTCTTACACAGGGCGTTGGGTCTTTCAAGTGGAACAAAGGCTCCTTCTTCACTAGCAAGGATTCAAGTTCTCAAAGGGGTTTAGATAAGCATCAGTCAGTTCAATCCATAGGAAATTTGAGTGTGGATTCAACCGTCTCTATGCCTGCTACGGTTGGACGAAAGCCATTTAACCGATTTGTGTGATTTTTTTTTCTTCATATTTTTAACCTCTTTTTTTTTTTTTCCTTCATATTTTTCGTTATTTGATTGAGTGTATGGTGATATTAATATGAGTTACAAAATACTGATGTAAAAATAATAAAGAGACAAATAGGAAATGATGGTTTGAATGTAACAGGTTTGCTTTTGAAACAAAAAGAAGAGGAAAAAAATACGATGTGACATTTTTTGGATTGCTTTAAACATTGTATCTTTCTCCATGACAAGTACTCTTATCGTTTTCCTTGTTCTTGGTGCTGACCAGTCAATAAGGGGGAAATCGTTCTTTGTAGGAGAAGAACCGGACTGGCAAAATACAATGGCTGCTAGAATATGGTTCACCTGAAAGTTGAAGACAATAGGTGAAACTTAAACTCACAGAACCTACTTGGCCATAAAAGGCAGCTGTCACAAATTATTGGAGCTTTTTATAGTACTTCGGTTTTTCCATTTTCGTTAGCACTCTTAACATGGTTACTTCTTATTCTATACCTATTATGTTCGGTCTGGTTTCAAATTCGGTACCAAATTAGTGTTGAATTTCACTGATTTTTTTATTTTTTTATTTTTATTTTTTAGATTTGAACCTAAATATATAACCAAGACCCCCCGCTCCAGTAGGTTTATGGCTTATATTCCTTAATTGCCAAGTAAATAAAGTGGAGTCATGACCAAATGATTCCTTGTTCACCAATGATTTTAGTCGTTACAAATATTTGAGTAGATGACTGATGTTAATATGTGCAAAACACAAGAGTTGAGAGGTTCCTTTTGGAAGTGAGAGTGAGTGTACAAGGAGATTTGTGATTGGTTCTTGGATATAAAAATTATAATCATATTTTTGTACTAATTTTTTTCTTATAGTAAAAAATTATTGTCAAGTTCATAGAGCATGCAAGATTTTATCGAACCATGTTAAATCTTGTGTGTCCGTTCTTTATTCATCTTTTTTATTTTTCTTTCCATTGAATTGGGTTATTTGTGATGGTGTATTGAATCTTCTGTCCTTAATTTCCCTACAAATTGGTATTAAAACTTTGGTTTTGGGAGATTCGGTACTTGAGCTTGAACAATGTCTACAAACGACAAGTTTTAATTTATCGTGAAACAATTTAATGAGAATGAAAATTTTATTCCTTGACAACAAACGATAGAAGACATCTTTATTCAATAGGACTTGGTTGAAGCATGATGAGAAAAGATGGGAAGGCATAAGAGAGAGAGAGAGGAGCATGAGTGAGAGGAGTTGGAATCAACGTTCGTAAGCATGATTCGATTTTGTATTGTTGATAACTTTATCAATAATGTCATGGATGAGCATTCGACACATGCAATATAAAAAAGGTTAGAAAATCTTTATCCGGATAAGAGTTTAATCAATAAGTTACATATGAAGTGACAACTTTATATGATTTGAAGTTATCGGAGGTGAGTTTAACCAACAAATTTTCTTATATAAATCATGCATTTTAGACCAATTAAAAAATAAGTTATTTCCTCATTTTCAAAAATAATGCATGATTTGAAGTTAATTTAGTGTTAACTTAGCATAATAAATAGTGAATTTGATCTCGATTGACACAAAAACTAATATAAAACCGCCTCATTACCGATAAACATTAAACAAAAAAAAAACTAATTTTCCTAAATTATAGAAATATTAAAAAAAAACATCTTGCATGATAATATTTTCATAGGGAGGACAAATGAACTAAATTTGAAACATCATCATGTGATAGGTGTTAAAAAATAATATAAAACTATTTTTGAAATCTCACTCGGTTGTTTGATTTTTCAAATTGAGACAGTTAAGAGTCCAAATCTCACAAATTGTATTTTTATTAAAATATCGAGGGACATTCCTAAATATTGATCACAAAAGTTCAAACTCAAAATAATAATAATAATAATAATAATAATAAATAAATAAATAAATAAATAAAGGAAAGAAGCGAACGTATTCGATCACCATATCAATTTTTTGGGATTTTGAGTTCCATCCTATTTTTTTTTTGAAAAAAAATATAGAGAAATAACTAACGGGAAAAATGTGTAATTGTATTGACATAAAAGTTATTTTAAGAAATTTATTAATATAAATACCACAATAATATCATATATATATATATATATATAGGATTATCAAAATATATGAGATTCAAAAATTAAGACTAATTTTTCAATAATTATTCGATCAGATGCACAAATTGAATACAATTATTCACTTAAGTCAGTCCTATTAACTGAGTACACTTGTGTCATATATAACTTATAAGTCGTATCATTTGAAGAGTCCTACTGAACGTGTATCTTTTCCTCCTTAAAATAGATTTTTTTCCCCCTTCTTCTCTTTTTTTCTTTTTTGTGAGGCAACAGAGCCTTAACACAAAATCAAAACAGTAAGCAATGGCTCTCAAGCTCGATCCTTTTGTCTCTCAATCTCTAAAGTTCCCTTCTTTTGCTCTTCCACTAATGGCTAGAAATATGTATTGAAGGCTGAAAGAAAGAGCTCAAGGGAAGACCAAGCAAAGGCCCACCATTCCTTTCAGTTGGATTTTCGATAGACAAGTACAGCTGTGAGTGCAAAATGGAATGATAAATTCAGAAAAAGGAAAAGCGTAATCCATTTCCAAGGAGACAATTCTTTGGTTTCTTTTCATGGTTCAAGGATTCGGTTCTTAATCAATTTTTTAGAAAATAAAAAATAAAAATAAAAATCCAATGGCTTCTGCCTTAATGGCACTTGGTCCTATAATTTGCTACCTGTTTAGCCATTTCCCACTTTTTTCCCTTCATTTTTTGTGTGTGCATTAAATTCATTTTTTAAAATAAACAAAATATTTTCCTTTTGTTTTAGATTCAGCTATCTTTACCAACTTTTAACTCAATATTATAATTTTTAATATCATTGTAATAATTGATTTTCTTGAGTTAAAATAAACAATTTTTTTGATATATATATACACACACATAATATGACATTTTACGTGAATAGAAACCAAGCTATGAATACAAAAAATTTTCTTTAGGTAAAATAAACAATTCTTTTTTTTTTTTTTTTTTGAAACCATAGGAAATTAAGAAAAGGAGCTGAAAAAGGTTAAAAAGGGTCACAATATATGTATATTTTTTTTTAACTTCATGTTCGCAGTGGCATATATGTTATGAAAAACTCAATAAGATTTTTTTTTTTTTGAAAGAAACCATAGCTAATTATGAAAAGGAGATGAAACAGGTTTAAAAAGATCACTCTATATATATATATATATATATATATATATATATATATATAACTTTATGTTTGCGGTGGCATGTTATGAAAAGCCCAATAAGATTATTTAATTTTTTTTAAAAAAAAAAAAGAGGAGAAGAAAGAAGAAGAGAAGTTGATGTGTTGGTAACAAATCAATTGATTTTTGCGCATAAAGAGAAGATACATATGGAATGTTTTAGAGCTTAAAATTCAAAAGAAGAAAATTTATTGAAGTAATTATTATTATTTTCTCTAAACATTAATTGACATAATCAATTATAGTTTAAATAATAAAATTATAATTAGTTGTTATTATTTTCTCTAGTAATTATTAATGTTTTATACATTCAATAAAATAATAAAAGATTAATCCGAATTTTTAAACTTAGAATACTCTAAAGGATAAATTTTTTTTTTAAAAAAAGGGAAAAGAGTAGTCCAGTTTCATTTTTGTTACTGGAACAATGCAATCAATCTCTGGATATGATCCAGCCCGTTGATCAAATTTTGTGAGCTGAAGCCTGATAAAGCCTGAATTGTCCAATTAAAGAGACCATTTCTTAACGTACTACAGTTTGGGCTAAACACAAAAAAAGACATGAGACGAAAGCCCATAAAAGAGAGTGAATCATTGTTTGTCCCTCTATTGTTGACATTAGTCAAAGGAGCCCTCCACAAAATTTTGGTTCAAATTGAATCCTTTACTATCAATTAAAGGCAATATTTTGGTTAACGAAAAAACATATTGATGGAAAGTGCCACATTTATGAGTAGAATAAAAGCAAATATAACAACGATAAAATAATATAAAAATAATTAAAATGTATTATAAATTCAGAAAAAGGAAAAGCGTAGTCCATTTCCAAGGAGACAATTCATTGGTTTCTTTTCATGGTTCATGGATTAGGTTCTTAATCAATTTTGTAGAAAATAAAAAATAAAAATAAAAATAAAAATCCAATGGCTTCTGCCTTAATGGCACATGGTCCTATAATTTGCTACCTATTTAGCCATTTCCCACTTTTTTCCCTTCATTTTTTGAGTGTGCATTAAATTCCTCTTAAAATAAACAAAATATTTTTCAGATTATGCTTCTTTACGAATTTTGAACTCAATATTACAATTTTTTATATCATTGTAATAATTAATTTCTATAAGTAAAATAAATAATTTTGTGATATATATATATATGTGTGTGTGTGTGACATTTTAAGAGAATAGAAACCGAGTTATGAACACATAGAAAAAATTTTTAGGTAAAAATAAATAATTCTGTCTCTCTCTCTGTTATTTTATTTTATTTTATTTAAAGAAAGTAACCATAGCTAATTATGAAAAGGAGCTGAAAAAGCTTAAAAAGGATCACAATATATGTACATATCTTTTTAACTTCATGTTCCCAGTGGCATACTATGAATAACTCAATAAGATTTTTTTATTTTATTTTTAAGATTGAGTAGAAAAAAGAAGAAGAGGCATTGATGTATTGGTAACAAATCAATTGATTTTTGCGCAGAAGGAGAAGATATATGTGGATTGCTTTAGAGCGAAATATTTAAAAAAGGAAAAATCATTGAAGTAATTATTATTATTTTCTCTAGCAATTAACATAATTAGTTGTTATTATTTTCTCTAGTAATTAATTAAGACTAACATGCATGACAACATTAAATCACGTCTTTGTCAATACATTAATCAAAAGACAAAAAAGTGAAAAAAACTCAAGCGTTGT